AATACCACATGAGAAATGTTCCTGTCAATCTGAGCAGCTCATACTGTACCCACAGAAGCTGCCATCAAGCGCAGCTGTAACACCAACCAAAAACTCTTTTCAGTCTTTTAACTGCAGCTAAGGGCTGGTAGGTTTTCACTGCTGCTGTCTTTCTTCTGCCTGCTCAGTGTGCGAGCTGCAGCTGGTAAGAATCACACCGGCCCGGCTGGCCCGAGTGCAGTGGAACATCATCTTTTACACATTACTGCGTATATCAGAGGCAAACACATATGGTGAGGATACAGGAAGGTGCTTCTTGAAATATTTTAGGATAGGAAAAAGTATCCAGATGTGCTTGCTGTGATGCTGCAGACTTAAGGAAAACGAGCTGTTGGCACCGAGCTGACGTCCAGCAGCTCAACGCTGCAGTTTGTCTTTCCTGCAGTAACTGTGAGAGCAGCTAATTTAACAACAAGCTCCGGCTGAAAGTCAGTGTTTACGTTTGTTTCAAGCATGTCGGTGTTGGTTTGGGATAAATGGAATATCAAATATAATAAATGACACTTAGTCTGCATTAAATAAATGAAAGCAGCTCTGAGCTTCAGAGGCTGCGGCGTGGGGAGTGTGCATGTGTGTCTTAATTGATCTGTTTATGTCGCTTGGATGTGAAGGTGCAGCAATCGATCAGTGCTTGTCTTCATTTTCAGAGACGCAGGAAAGAAAAGATATCAGCCGCAATCTCGTTGCCATAAACGTCCAATCAGTCCTCGAATGATTCTGTTAGAAAGGTGTGTGCAGCTTCCTCACCACGCTCTCTCTGAGGGCGCAGCGTGAGCGGGGCTTGGCACAAAGGGGCCATTAGACATTTACATGAAAAGAGGTTGTTTAGAACCCTGGAAATCCTGATTGGATTTGCAGTCACTCAGCAGCGCTATTGGTTCAGCCACAGGAAGACAGGAAGTGGAAGGGAAGGAGATCGGGAACAGGGCGCCAATCATCACCCAGCAGCTGCCCTCCTCTGAGAC